GGTAGATCGTTAACGGAGATAAGGAACAGAGGTCCTAGGATATAGCAGTCCCACATTAGTATGTTATGATTTGGAAACGCGCATGTTCAACAACTTTCATTAACATGATTTTTTGGAAGGATTAAGCAAAATATTCGTTCCGTGACACCGTATCTCTTCAGCTTGAGGAGAAGGCCAGTATATCAAACTGTCGAAAGTCTTTGAGTTATCTAGCGCCAAAACCTGAGCTTCACCATTCTTATCTGAAACTTGATAGACACTTCAGTGATGGCCGATAACATACTGGCGGTTGACCTGGAGAAACGGAAGTCATATTTTTTGTTCGAAAGGAGACCGTGTAAAGTAAGATGCTTAACCGATTCTGCGTTGATCAGAGCGTCGAGTAATTTGCCAAAATGACTAATAAGGCAATAATTTGAGGGATCAGACCGTTCCCCGGAGTACTTAAAAATAAGAACTACAGAGGACTTCTGTCGTGAGGATTTGACTTTCATAAAACTGCAGGAGCCTATAATGTTCAGTAATACTTTCACTATAATAGATCCATTTAAGATACCTCTGTAGATGTGAGGGTCTTGGAAGTTACCTTTCTCTTACATAAATACATGATAGACCCCACTATTTATAGGTGCATTTCTGTTTATAATCTTCTATCATAAAATAGAGAGATCTAGGAAAAAGTAAGCTATTTTCAAAAGTTCAGCTTCTATGGCGAGTGAGTTTTCCTTAGTTTTTTAATAGCTTTCTTAATTACCTCATCAGCACGTTCATTATAGTTTATGTTTGGGGACAGACTTTGTAATGGTTGGATATATGTATATGTTCTATTTCTGTGGACAATTTAAGTTTAGTCTGTGGTCAGGATTGAAATGCGATTCAAAGTGTTTTTTGAGACAGTTCTTTTTTCTGTAGGGTTTTTGATTGAATGGTATTAATGTGGTTGTACGAGTTTCAACACATTTTAACTCATAGTCTGTGATGTTTGAGGTTAAATCTACAATAAAACGATGCGACCTACTTGCTAATCTAGTATTACCTTTAAATTCATACGACTGAGATACCAAGGAGGAGAGCTCATTAGAATAACAATCATGAAAATATTTTTAGTAAAGGCAGAGAAAAGCCACGTCACGGCGGTGGGAAAGTGACTGAAGTTGAGATGCCAGGTTAGGATTGATAACATTACAGACTCTTCTCTGCTTTCTCTCGAGAACTCCGTCTCGTCGGTGGGAAAGTGACTGAAGTCGAGACGCCAGGGTAGGACTGATAACATTACAGATTCTTCTTTGCTTTCTCTCGAGAACTCCGTCACGGCGGTGGGAAAGTGACTGAAGTCGAGATGCCAGGTTAGGATTGATAACATTACAGACTCTTCTTTGCTTTCTCTCGAGAACTCCGTCACGGCGGTGGGAAAGTGACTGAAGTCGAGATGCCAGGGTAGGATTGATAACATTACAGACTCTTCTTTGCTTTCTCTCAAGAATTCCGTCACGGCGGTGGGAAAGTGACTGAAGTCAAGATGCCAGGTTAGGATTGATAACATTACAGACTCTTCTTTGCTTTCTCTCAAGAATTCCGTCTCGTCGGTGGGAAAGTGACTGAAGTCGAGATGCCAGGTTAGGATTGATAACATTACAGACTCTTCTTTGCTTTCGCTCGAGAATTCCGTCTCGTCGGTGGGAAAGTGACTGAAGTCGAGATGCCAGGTTAGGATTGATAACATTACAGACTTTTCTTTGCTTTCTCTCAAGAACTCCATCTCGACGGTGGGAAAGTGACTGAAGTCGAGATGCCAGGTTAGGATTGATAACATTACAGACTCTTCTTTGCTTTCTCTCAAGAATTCCGTCACGGCGGTGGGAAAGTGACTGAAGTCGAGATGCCAGGTTAGGATTGATAACATTACAGACTCTTCTTTGCTTTCTCTCAAGAATTCCGTCTCGTCGGTGGGAAAGTGACTGAAGTCGAGATGCCAGGTTAGGATTGATAACATTACAGACTCTTCTTTGCTTTCTCTCAAGAATTCCGTCACGGCGGTGGGAAAGTGACTGAAGTCGAGATGCCAGTTTAGGATTGATAACATTACAGACTCTTCTTTGCTTTCTCTCAAGAATTCCGTCTCGTCGGTGGGAAAGTGACTGAAGTCGAGATGCCAGGTTAGGATTGATAACATTACAGACTCTTCTTTGCTTTCTCTCGAGAACTTCCGTCTCGTCGGTGGGAAAGTGACTGAAGTCGAGATGCCAGGTTAGGATTGATAACATTACAGACTCTTCTTTGCTTTCTCTCGAGAACTCCGTCACGGCGGTGGGAAAGTGACTGAAGTCGAGATGCCAGGGTAGTATTGATAACATTACAGACTCTTCTTTGCTTTCTCTCAAGAATTCCGTCACGGAGGTGGGAAAGTGACTGAAGTCGAGATGCCAGGTTAGGATTGATAACATTACAGACTCTTCTTTGCTTTCTCTCAAGAATTCCGTCACGGCGGTGGGAAAGGGAC